GGAGGGGAGGGATTTTTAATACAATTAATTGAAAAGATTGTTGGCCAACTAATCGGTTATGAAAATAATCGTTAGCTGCAGCCCTAAAATTCTCCCAAAGGGGAATTCGGTTTCTGTGGTAACTGAGCAATAGGCTTTCCTCTCACTTCCTGTTGAGTCCCTTGATCAGGAAGTATTGCCCACTGTATCCAAAAAAGAAGTGTTGTCTGGATTTCCACTTAAAAACTCTGACATCAGCAGCAAACGTATAACTAAAAGACGACTCTACCTTGTCTGGAGAGAGAATATTACTGTTTGATGTTCGAAGTTTAGTGGTATCAAATGAGGATTGGGCGTCTGTCTGAAAGTCCAGTTCTTCGGACAAGGATGCCTGGGCATTCATTCTCATTTGGCAGCGATCCTTCAAGGGTAAATCCAAGAATTCCTTCTTTTCAGTCAAAGCACCCACAGTCCTCAAGGAAGAGCTGTCCAGCAGCGGTTTGGCAGAAGAGGACGCAGTAACTGATGTCAGACTTGAAGCGTTGGCCTTGGATGGTTGTTGCCGAGTAGTTGCTTCAGTTTCCTCATCGCTAGAGTCCTCATGGATGATGATCCTCCTTTTCTTTTTTGCAGGTTGTGCCCGGTTGGCTAGTTTTGGCTCGGTGGCTTTGAGCTTTAACCGACGTCTAGTGTGGTACTGTCTGTGGCCGTCAACAAAGCTGTCCTGCTGCAAGAGGTTGGGGTCCATCTGTACTTCTGTACTGGAATCCTCTTCATCCTCTTCCTCCTCCTCTTCATCCTCTTGAACACAGAAACTGTCCTCCATGTAGTCTTCATCCTGTTCAGGAATCTAACAGAGGCAAAGACAGACAAAGCATGAATGGAAATCTGTAAAGAGGGGAATACAGGGGATCCTGACCTCCTCCTCAATACTAGATGCCTGTCACTTTCTGGCTGCAATGCTTTTCAAGTCACTGACCATTTTAATGCCTCCAACGCCGCTGGAAAGGTGTTCCCTCACTTACTGTCCTTGTGACAAGGCAACAAATAAGGACACAGATCGCCAGCACAGTAGAGCGCCAGCACAGTAGAGCGCCAGCACAGTAGAGCGCCAGCACAGTAGAGCGCCAGCACTATCATTCTGGTACCTTTACTGTAGCTTTGGATCACCATTGACTGTCCTTCAACTCACTCCACATACGTGACAAAGGAAAAAGGAAACGTATTGGTCAATTGGAACTTTCTACTCACCTGGGAGAACACAGACAAGCTGTGTCTCTTGTGTGTCAGTTTGAATCTATTTCCAACTGCTGGACTGCGTATGGATTTCATGTATATGCCCTGCATCTCAGAGTCTGAAACAGAAGACAGATCATCTAGTTATCACATGAAGTCAACAGCAGACAATTAAGGAGATGAGGAGTTCAATATGGCAGCCTCTGAAGTCCTCAGCTGCAAATGTTAGAGAGGTTTGCAAAGCAGGAACTGGGTGGCTTTTTCTCCCAGCTAAAGGAAGAAGTCCACCAGCTAAAACATCTGCACCACGAGCTCCTAACTCCAACTGACTGCCTCAGGTAACCAGCATTACTGACCCACCTAATCTTCTGCCATGCCAATGAATATGGAAAAACCCAACAGCTCTACCCATGATCAACATTCGCTGATCTTAAGATACAAAGATAATTTAAAAAAAATGTATATCTGCTTTGCAATATGAAAGCAGCCTAGTACATGACACCGTCACAAGCCAAGTGTCCCCCTCTCCCTCATTGACAGCAGGACTTACACAAAGAAAAGCCAGGCACAGCATCCATTTCATCCTAGGAGCAGAGTTTTATATTTCTGGATCACATGCAACCACCTCTACATGCAGGATAGAAGGAGGAAGACTTCTCACCCACCATATAAAATGAAAAGCTTTGAACGTGTAACAGGCAATTAGAGAAATATATATAGTCACATGAAGCTATATGACCATATCAGGTGCACAGAGAGATAATTTTTATAGGAAACCTGAACTGTGCTGACATGTTCCTTCTTTAAATGGCTAAATGCATGACTGTCAAAGCAATCCGCACACCAGGGTCCAATGTATCGAAGCAACTTTATTTGGTGCCAGGTATACATGGCATCACATGTAACCGATGTCGCATGTGATGCCATGTATAACTGGCATCAAATTAAGACCATTCAATATATCGGACCTTGGTGTGCGGGTGAATACCTTAATGATGTTTGGTTTCATGCAGCACCATCCGCACGTCATTCCAGCACCCATCTGATTACTGTATTGGGATTCCAGGCTGGAGTGTGACGCGATATAGATAATAATTTAGTACCGTCTGTCACTGCATGGAACAAGCACGGGAGGACCAGGGACAAGCACGGGAGGACCAGGCGTTCTGAAAAGTGACATCATTGGTTGCATGCCTGTTCTGGACCAGTAATTTAAACAGTATTCCGGCCAAAAGGCAGCCAACCGATTAGCATTTTCAGAAGATCAGCAAGTGCAGCCTCCATTTTCAAAAGCAGACATCAGCAATGGAAGCCAACCTCGGCACAGGCTTTCTTTAAAGGAGAACTATGGGGTTAAGTCTTTTCCCCATAGTTCTCCTTAGGGTAACAGGAGAACACAAACTAGCGTCCTCCCGTCACCCTAGGCTCAGTATACCGCTCGCTGTAGCTCGCCGTATACTGAGACGCCGCAGCTGAAGCGGATCCCGACAATTGTGCCGGGATCCGCCCAGCTGCCTGACTGACAGCTGGCTCTGCCTATCTAAAAGGCAGAGCCAGCTGTACCCGCCCCCTCCCCCGTCCGTTCCGCCAGTCAGTCAGCGCTGGCGAATCGGAGCGGGGAGAGGAGAATCCAGCCCCTCCCCTGTCACGGCAGAGAGCCGTGACAGGATCGAGAGGTGAGCGAACGCCGGTATGTGTTTGCTCACCTCCCGATCTACTGAGCCGACCTGTGACAGTCTCATTGTCACAGGGTCGGCTAGAACTATGAGGTGAGTGAAAAGCACTCACCTCATAGTTCTCCTTTAATAACATAAAACAAAAGCCTAACATGGAATATGAGACATTTAAGCTACAATCAGAAGAGTGAGGACTCCCCAGAGGAAACTTCCATATGTGACTTACCATTCAGGGCCTGAGACAGCTGAGTGTTATCATTGAGGAACTCCACCAAAGATGTGTCCTGCACATTGTCGGAGTCCACAGACTCATCTGACGATACACACTCTGCTTCTTCCGAGGACAGTTCAGCCTCCTCATCAAGAAACTGCCTGGCTGCATGCTAGTAAAAGAAAAAGGACAATGAAAACCTAGAATTTACATGATCCATAGCCCTTGGCGGGGGTCCAGTTTTATAAACTGTACCAAGGGGGGGTAGCGCAGGGGGCTGGGCTAATAGTGGAGCATGTCACGCTGAATTGTATGAGGGGCCCAAATTGTGCAAACAGTAGGAGGGGCTCAAACGTCACTGTCGGTGGGATAAAGGAGGGAGCTGGGAGGTAAAGGGGGCTCATAGGAGTATGCCATATAGTGGTGATGTGTCCAGCGTCATCTTGGGGTCTCCTTGGGGTGCGGTCTGTGATACTATTCCCTGAATCTAGGACTCCTTACACTTAAGAGATGCGAAGTTGGCAGCCAGAACTATAACATGCGTTGGGAAATGCAACCACAGGATTACTCTGCAGACCATCTGCACTGATTTAGTCTACAACTTCCCGATGCCACAGCTTTTTTCCGCCATTACAAAAATATTTTCAAGTACCCCTAAATGTGCTGCCATGTACCCCTAGGGGTTGGGAACCACTGGTCTAGCGGATCCTGTCTTTATTATGTCCCACAGGCAAATTTACAAAGCTGGAGCTACATAAAGCTTTTCATCATCATCATCATCCTCCTCTATGTACTAGAAAACCACATGGCTAGAGCAGTGTTTTTCAACCTTTTTTGTGCAAAGGCACACTTTTTTCATGAAAAAAATCACGAGGCACACCACCATTAGAAAATGTTAAAAAAATTTACCTCTGTGCCTATATTGACTATATATAAAGTAATTCTCTTGAATAGGAATCAAATAAACACAAAGAAATTATTTTATAATTACTTTATTATGAAATAATAAAGTATTTTATAATTGTATATTTCTGTTCAATCCATGACTTACCTTCACACTTCACACAAATACGTTTTAAATTCAAACTGTAGCACTGACGTAGCCCTGGTTAAAGTAGGGTTCAGTGGGGTATGCACCTATTCCTGTTTCCATAACTCAGTGACTGGTTTAGTATAGACTGGTGGTCTTTGTACACTACAGATGAAGGTAAACCCATGTGACTCTGATTAGGTCAGGAAAGTGATCCATATGATCATTGGTCATTGTCAGAATCTATTTATATCGCACAATGAGGCGGTCGATGAGCCGGAAGAGCGGTTACTTCTCCCCTGATAAGCAATGTGCACCCAGCCAATGTACAACACAAGGCTGTTATTTATAGTATGTGCCCCCAGAAGCCTCGCTTTCTAGCTCTATCCACCCCAGTGACTTCAAAGAAATATATCGTTACTACATTGACCTTTTTTTTTCCTTTATGTGGAAGAATCATGTTCTTCATCATTCGTATTCCATCAAAGCATTTTTTATTTTAATTGAGAGAAATAAGGACGATGCCTTTCATGACCTCCTTCTAAACATTCCATCTACTGGCTAAAGTACTTTATGAATCTTTGACCTGGAACAAGCATGCAGCTGGTGAAGAAAAAAACCCTTCAGGCAATTCGCCTTTTCAGGATGATTGTATCAGTGACTCTCCATTTGTTACTGGCACCCTCCATTTTTCACTGAGTAGAGGTTTACTTTAAAAAAGGAGACCTATGAGGTGAGTGCTTTCCACTCACCTCATAGTTCTAGCCGACCTGTGACAATGAGACTGTCACAAGTCAGCTCAGTAGATCGAGAGGTGAGCAAACACATACCGGCGTTCGCTCACTTCTCGATCCTGTCACAGCTCTCTGCCGTGACAGGGGAGGGGCTGGATTCCCCCCTCCCCGCTCCGATCCGCCAGCGCTTACTGGAGGAACATACAGGGGAGGGTGCGGGTACAGCTGGCTCTGCCTCTAGATAGGCAGAGCCAGCTGTAAGTCACGCAGCTGGGCGGATCCCGGCACAATTGTCGGGATCCGCTTCAGCTGCGGCGTCTCAGTATACTGAGCCTAGGGTGACGGGAGGATGCTAGTTTGTGTCCTCCCGTTACCCTAAGGAGAACTATGGGGAAAAGACTTAACCCCATAGTTCTCCTTTAAAGACAGACTGCTCTAAGCACTGTTTCAATCTTACTGGCCATGTAACCACCAAGTACTGGAGTAACTCTGACTGTAGAACAACTGTTCATATTTTCATAAGTAATACAAAAAAAAAAGTGATGCTTTAGCTACTCTACGATTCATTATTGCACACGTTAGGCTTGCAAGCCACCATAGGTGCGTTAACCTTAACCTCTTGCCGTCCGCCCGTAGTAAAAAAACGGACGGACGGCACTGCAGAATTTTTTTCTGCTCGCGCGCGCCCCCTAGCGGGCACGCACGGGCAGAAAAGACCCGCTAAATGCACACACCCGTTACCAGGTGTTTCACATATAGGCGATCAGCGGGTCCATAGCCCGCCGATCGCCTATATGTGCTCGTTCGCGTCTGCCCAAGCGCGGTCGCTGCTGCCGATTTATTTTTTTCCCCCCCTGACCCCTCACCTTGAATCCCGGGATCCACTGCCCCAATGCTTGGCTATGGCCACCCTAAATGATCTCCAGCTGGTAGTTTTATTGACCTGGGATCTATGTACAGTGATGAGCTCTAGTCAGCTTTTCCTGTGTCGACAGAGGTTACTTTATACCAAGAGCATGAAGAAGAAATGAGGTCGGGAGTGAACCATGCTTCTTGGAAAAACACTGGCATTGGGATTACAACCCCCATAAACCAGTGTATGGCTGCAAGTGGGTAAAACGTACTAACGTCACACCAAAAGTGGTGTCCGTAGATCATATTGTACATCATTAGAGTTCAAAATCATTCTGATGAAGTTATTTGGTGCAGTATGTTGGTCTTTAGCCACAGGATTTTTTTTCATATAAAAAAAACAAGCTAAAGTTGAATAATGTGCCCCATGTGTACGTGACTTACAACCTACTCCAAGTCCTTAACATACGCTCCCTGCAGGGATTTCCCCCTCCCCTCTCTGCTCCTCTAGAGCTCATCAGAGGGGGCGGGCACAGCTGGCTCTAGAGAGGTAGAACCAGCTGCCAATCAGCCAGTGGGGTGGATCCTGACAATATTGTCAGCATATGCTCTGCACAACTCTGCGCTGTCAACATATAGCGGGAAATAGCCTGCTGAGGTTTTGGGTCACAGGAGGACATTAGTCGTCCTGTGACCCAAAAGAAAACGAACGCCGATAAAGGTTTGGCTATAGTTCTCTTTTAATTCATACTCTCAGTCTAACGCTAACATTTAACTTGACCTGAACCCTAAAACTTAAACAACTTAAGCTGTCCAACAACTAACCATGGGTGGCCCTGATGGCATCGCCCGGCTCAACAAACCTTAATTTAAAAATTGAAAGTCGGGCAAACTGTGATGATTTGGCTGCAGTCGCTGATCGGTTGACAATTTATCACCTGCTCTTTCGATTTTTTCAGTTGAAATGTGTTGAGCAGCCTGGGTTGGCCTATTTAGGTATTCTACAGCTGCAGGCACTATTTAGGTATTCTTTGTATTCCGACAGCGGCATTGGCTGCCAGAAAACAATAGCCATCAGGGAAGATCCCTCCATTCACTCTGTTTTTGCGCTGATGAGGGAATCGAGGCATTTTCTCTTGCTCGGCATGCAGGTTGAAGACTATACCTATATGGCCAGCTAACCAGATAACATTAAAATAGTTTCTAACCCAGAAAGTTTAACAAAATGATACGTTATTGCCAGGACTGCACATTACAATAACTAGACTGATGAGGTATTCTGTAAACAGACTGTCCTCAAACCCAGGACACATTTTTCTGCAAGAGAACACAGATCACTGTAGTCTGGAATATGTTGCCATCACAAACCCGCTTCCTCTTGCGCTCAGGTCTTCGTGCATTTCTCTGGTGCCCCCTATCCTGAACACTAGATTTACAAGCAATAGAAGGAGGCTCTAGGTCTTCTTCATCTGAGCATACCTGCCAACACAAAAAGATGAAAGCGTTAAAATAATAATAAAAAAATATAACTAAATCACAGTCTGATATTTTATACAATTAGTAGCAGCATTGAAGATTACAAATACCTTCCTGGTACCTAAGGGAAAGCTGCAATCAAAGTATGGAGGATTGGGAGAAATGGGTGCATGATGTGGACCGCCAGGAACACATTCGGGGTTTTTAAGTAGGTGATCTGCCGGCTCGTAGTATCGGTGCCAGTGACCTGTTTGAGGGCAACTACAAAAGACACGTGCAGCCAGTTGCAGCTTTTCAATATCAGCCTTGAAAAGCTGCAGCAAATGACTGAGATGCATTGTTGCCTAGTGACATCCAGCTATTGACAATCTAATGTATTTTTACATAAATTGCACGTATTTTGTCTTTTATATCCTTCCTTTCCAATCAAAACCCCCCCAGCTTTGTCTGCAGGACACATCTTTATATTTCGGTCTTTTAATGTCACTGCTCGTTCGCTAATTGCTAAAACAACAGGATGGCGTGCTTCCCTTCTCCTTCACATGTGAGGCGAACAAAAGGCCGTTCCTGTTGTTTATAAATTGTGTAGTATTAATCGACAGCGTATGTGATTGTACTTAAAATTATATTTGTACTCCAGCTTGAAGGATTAGCGTAGAGAGCGTGCTGCAGATAATGAGGATAGGATCTAAATATATGTTTAGTACAATACCATGCCATTAACTCCTGTTTTATGCGCGTGTTGTGAAATTGCAACCCTTATATCATCCTAATATATGTCCAATTATTACTTTAGCATCTTTATTAAAATGTTAATATACACTGTATGCTCAAATGTTTAAGAACATCTGACCATCACATCTATACGAGTTTGTTGGAGGAAATCCAAATCCAAAAGCATGGGCATTAATATGCAGATGCCGTCTCCTCCCCACTTTGCAGCTACAGCGGCATCCACTCTCCCGAAGAGATTTTGGAGTTTGTGCTCATTCATCCCAAAGAGAACATTTGTGAGGTCAGGTATTAATGATGCACCTGGCTCACAAGTGGCATTCATTGCATCTTAAAGATATGAACAATAAGGCTCGGGGTCAGGGCTCTGTACAGGCCACTAGAGTAACTACACCAAATTGTCAAACCATGTCTTTATGGGGCTGGCTTTGTGCACAGGGGCAGTCAGAAAAAGGCTTTCCTAAAAATGTTGCCCCAAGCTTGGAAGCACACACATAAAATGTTTTGATATGCTGTATCATGAACTGTACTCTTTACTGGAAACACCTGAACTTGATCATTTCAAGGGGTGTCCACATTTGTTTGGTCATATAGGTAGGTGTGATGATCAAGTGTTCGCAAACTTTGGGCCATATAGAGGAACATGCTGGAGCAGACTTTAGGTTCAGTTTGTTGGTCAGAATCGTGTGTGGAAAGGCAGAAATGACAGTGAAGAAATCACATATTATTGGCCAAGATGGCCCATAGGGCAGAAAACTGGGTAGTGGTCTGGCTAAAACAATGATACAATGTGAGGTTCAAAGGACTAGAGATAACAAAAAGGAAAACCTCAAAGCAAACCAGATCAGCTTAGAAAGGTTCTGCTGCCTGGAGTTGGGTTTTAAACTACAGCTAAAGGCATCTGTATGACAGTCCCAAATCCAGTTACTATGTGATGCCCAGGCCTCATAACGTAAACAAAAAAACTGCCTCTACCCTCCTGATGGAGCCAAATCCTCCTTTATTTGTGTCTTATATGCTTTCCTTCACAGACATTGCAGCTCACAGTGGGAGGGTTTCAGCTACAGAAGCAGTGCTGTCAATCCAGAAAGCAGTGGGCAGGACTAGGTGTGCCCAGGTTTGTGAACCAGCAGTGACAATGCTGATGGCCACAACCACTGCAATATTTTTTCCTCCCACTATAGTGCAAGCAGGCACAGCTGTAATAAGGACAACTCTGCTCTGAATTCAGGAGGAGCAATGCAGTATCATTGCCACCCCATCACAGGACGGTGCACTAGGTGGAATTCATTTTCAGAATAAACATGTATTTGCAGGTGGCCTAAGAGAAAACTGTACATATCCACTCATTAAGTGCCGCAACATTTCTTTCATGGAAGGCCACAGTTCTACTGTAAAATAAAGGAAGGAAGACTTACTGTATTAAGCGCCCATCTGCATTTTTTTGCTCCAGGCATCGGCGAGTCCAAATCATCCTCACTGCTCACTTTCTAAAAAGCAAGATTTAAAACAAATTGAACAGAATTTTTCGTTTGGAAGCCGTGTACAAACAAGGCACCAAGAGGACACAGAATCGGCCAACACTTTCTTGTAGGTGGATTTTTTAAAGGCGATTTACAAAGCCTTGTTTCAAACTGTGCATCTATGTTGAGGCTTCCATCTAGGTAGAGGAGCAGTGATTTGCTATTTCGTGTCAGAGCTGCCCCCCCTCCAATGACTGGTGATCTAAGGACTGGTGGGGTAATGATCAAGAAGCAGCAGGAAAGGTGGAAGAAGCACAGATCTACAGAATAAACCAAGCAAAAACAGGGAGATGCTTGCACTGCAGGTACAGATTTCTCTCCAGCAAGGAGAACTGTGAAAACATAGTAGTGACATCACCAAATCTCACTCCAAATCTAATGAGACCAGCAGTGAGCGGGACCATTGCCTTAGAATTTACACTGCAGATCTACAGCTATGAGGCTCAAGACACAAAGTAAAATGTTATATTTTAGGAGGAATTCAAGACACAAAAGTAGATTTTCAGGGTACCGCTTAGGTACACTTAATACTTTGAGATGTTTTCTAGAAGATTGCAAATCTGCGCTTGTTGATATCAGATGTACTTTTAGGAAATGGTTCATGTCAAAATATTTATTGATTTACAGGGACGTAACAAAATAAAAACAAAAAAAAAAAGGACTTACTGTATTTAGCGCCCGTCTACATTTCCTTGCTCCAGGCATCGGTGAGTCGAAATCACACTCGCTGCTTGCGGACTATGAAGATTTGAAAAAAACCAACATGAGCTGCAATAAGCGCGCTGCTAATTCAAACCTATGTTCAAGACTGCGGCCACTACTGTGGCACAAGACGCTATATATTGCTTACCTCCGGTGATTTGAGGACAGCTGCTGCTGCCAATTTTCTTTTCCGCCTGAAAACAACGTCTTCCTCGCTCTCGGGGCTGCTGCCTGCGGAGAGATGGCAAACATCCCAGAACAAACCATGAGAAGCAGAATGAAAAGCCAGCACTGCAGTGGGCAGCCATGATTAAATCACAAAACCGCCACTGTGCCCTGTGGCTGCGCTAATAACACATCAACCCTAGGAGACAATTTGTACATGTGATTGTTTCAAAGGCCTCTGCTGTTTTGTTTGTATCTGGAAGTCAACAGTCACATTCTATAATAGAACGCATGTAAAAGGACCAATAAGCCTAAAGTTAGAAAAATTGAAAATATTCATGATTTAAAAATATGGAGATATTTGACATCACGGTGAAAGGTGAATATTGGTTAATAGCATATAATTATCCTACAAAGCTGCCAAAACTACACCTTTGTAATGTAAACATTTATAAACAAATTAAGCTGCATGGAGATCAGTGATTATACAAAATGTTGAAATGTGCTATTGATATCTGCAACCTTATAGCTGCCAATCTCTGGCCCACAGCATGAGGCCTTCTAAAGCTTTGAAAGGGCCACGACCAGCCAAGCCGAATGACTGCAAGTATGAAAAGGAAAAACAATGGGCCAAACTGCACATCACGAGCAAGGTGACAAACCTACAGTTCTCTGTTGTGTGCCCACTAACATGCAAAATGAAACTCTGGAAAGTGGCTAATTTACTCTTGCAGGATTTAAACCATTTATCTTTTAAAACACCCCAGAGTAGAGGGGGAACAGTATAGTGGTGCCTACATGTGTACTCGCATATCTTCTATAATGCACCAGCAGACCCATACTTGGGGTAATAGTGACCTCAGAACTAGAATTGGACTTGGAAATTCAGAGTTAGGACTTACCGGTAACTCTATTTCCATTAGTCTTAACCTTTTGTGCTTGGCCTTGCCTTTCCCACCTCCTGTGTTTCCCTCTTGGCCATAATGGACATTTGTAGGGAAAAAGCATGGAGGCTACCATTGCTGACCTTTCCTGAATATTAAGTTCCCTGGCCACTGACCCAGACCAAGAATGGCGATTAGGATGTCCGACTTCACCACTGTGTTACATATTGCTTCACACATTCAATTATATCAATGGGTGCAGACCAAAAGCTGTGCATGCAGCATTTTCAGCAGAGCAATGCAAGTTAGTGCATTGCTGAGCATTGAGCTGGGCTGCAATGCAAGTTTGCTGGGCAGGTAAGCTGGAGTGTCATTTAGAATTAATGGCACCACATCACAGCAAGTGCATAGCATGCGTTATCACACTTCAGTGGTGTGAACAAGCCCTTAAAGTCAGACACAGGGAGGCAGCTTTTTTAGAAGGTGAGTAATGGCAACTTTCCTATTTCTCACAGTACGGATGGAGGGTCTCAAGTAACCACACGGAGATGAAAAGGAGTGTGGACAAGGCTGACATCAGTTCCTGAGTGGTAATAATGTATGTGAACACACATCTACTATTGCATTTTATTTATTTTTTTGAGTACATTAAAGCCAGACCCCAGCATTTGAATGGTTTCAACCCTATAAGTGTTTACATTTTTCAATATAGTCTGCAATTTCTGGATCTGAGCAAAAAAGGCTCCTTTCAGTTGCTCACACCAGCTCTACTTCCAGACTAGACACCAGCACTGGGGTTGTGTCTCCACTCCTGTCTACTCTAGGCCATTTACAAAATGTGTGTTTGCAGGTTATGTTTGAATGGCCAAGTGTAGACTGGGGCAGGGACAGAACAGTGCTAGCGGCTACCATACATATAGTGTTGTTTTTGCAAGGAGGCCAGCACAGTGGGAGTTGTAGTATCCGTAGGACTGAAAGTAGTCTTTTTAAATGTTTTTTTTGGACAAATTCAGGATTTACTAACTACAAGGAAAAGGCAAACACTTTTTTATAGCTCCGAAACTATTAAAATGTTGGTGTCCAAATTTGGGCCTTACACAATTAACTAGAGAAATATAATACATACCAATAGTTACATTGTTGTCGTTCTTGGCCATAGGCGGATTTGCACCAGCTCTTACAACCACTAAAGATGAATTGATGTTCCTTGGTCCTGACTGTGGAGTCAAGTGGGTATACATATCATGCTTAGCCACAGGACTGTAAGGTGTTTTGAAGTTATTGACCTTCTCCGTTACTGGTGTTACCATTGAAGAGCTCAAAGATTTTTCATCTATCTGGGAGATTTTGCCTCTGACTGGAGAAATTCGCTTTTCAGACATTTCAAAGGTAGAGCTTCTAACCCCATTGGTCACTGGGGTTGACATATTGCCTCCGGCAATAGTTCTATTAGGTGAGCTTGGAGCTTTAAAATGTCCAGCCTCTTCTACACTTTGTGGCTGTACTTCAGGGTTCTCCCCTTGTAAATGATCATCATCGTCGTCATCATCATCATCAATAGAGAATCCAAGGTCAAAATTAACTGAAAACAACTCACAGGAACCAAACTCCTCATTTTCTGTCTGCTCCAAGTCCTTGTAGGAGGACAAACCAGCTTGGTTTTCATCTTCCGTATGGTCTTCCATGAACAAGGATGGATCAAACATATTAAAGTTGACCGTGGGTCTTTCATGATTGGGTTTTACTGTTGTGAAGGTCTTGCTTGAACTCGGTTCATCAACCTCAGCAAATTTCTCATCTTCAAATAAGTCAAAACTGTCCTCAAGATATTCAGGAAATGTATCCAACTTGGTTTCATCTTGATGCTGACATACCATGTTATCGTTGCTCCGGTGAGGGGTACAAGGCCGAGTAGCTTCAATGTCAGTCTCATTACTTTCAGTCTTCTCCTTATTGAACATGGAGCTGTGAATACAAATCCCATCAACCATGTCCACTTCCCCAATTGTTACCTTGCTATTTTTGCTTGGGCTGCACGTTTTAAGAGAATCACACTCTTCAGCATTAGCTTCCTCACTGTCAACTTCATTGTGGTACTGGGCATAGCCATGTGTTGTAGGGGGGTCAAAGTTTTCAATATACATTTCATTGGCTTCAGAGTCGAAAATATCATCCCACTGACTATCATTTTGAACCTCCCTATCTTCAAGTCCATTTTCTGGTACAGTCTCCGCATGATAATCTTTTGGAGATGACGAGACAGATGGTCCAATTTCATATAGCTCTTCTTGAGGACTATCATTATTCTTGACTGCAAGACGAGCTGCATCTCCCAAAGAGTCTGAATTCTGTGCGAGATTGCGGAATCCCTGTACACTACAATGGGCCTCTATTGAAATATCCCAGCTACCTTTTTTACTAGCTAAAGATTTGGTTCTTAAATCATTCATAGAAAGGTCTAGATCTTCTAAGGAATCAAGTTCACTAAATGAAGGAGGAGAACGGGCCAAAAAGCTCTTTACACGTGATAACATATTGCTTAGGACAGGAGAGCTTGTTTCAACAACAATCTCTGAAACCAGATAATGATTATTATGCATATACGCGGGATAAAACAGATTCGATAAATCTTCAGAGGTGTCTTCACTAAAACTGTGATACCCACAGTCAGCTTTAGTTGGGGATTTTAATTCTCCGTTTTGATCAGTAGTTGGCGACTGTTTTTGAAGTTGCGATGAACTAGGGTTGATGTCTCTGTAAGAAACGATTTCCATTTCATCGACCAAATCTTGATCCTCATCAAGATTTTGCCCATTCTCGGCATCACTGCTTACTTCCATTGCTGTTGGGCAGTCTATTAAACCTGAATTTTCATGTTCAGTGGAAGAGGACTTTACTTTCTTTGAAGACTTGAAGAGTGGCATAAAGTCTTCATCACTCTCAGACATGGACAATGAATTCTTGCAAGTTTTACTTTTGAGAGCAGGCAACTTTGAAGTCTTGGAAGTTACAGCGGAGCAATCTCGACTATTTTTCTTAGTTATATGTGAAGGAAGCACATCAGCTTTATCCAAGGAAGCATTGACTTCCTTATCATAACTGCACTCACCCTGCAAAATATCAAGAATGACAGCTTTAAGTACATACAAAACAATATCTTGCACAAAAAACCTTTAAACCCAATTGAGAACAGTGTTGCAACATTGTAAAGGTTTTATTGGTTTAAGGTATCTTTTTTTCCTAACAGGCCATCACACATTGTACACAAAAAATTGTTCTGTAAATAGAGAATTTCGAAACAAGAAAGTTCAGTCCTACAATCAGGTATCAATTGGAAAGTGCAGGTCTGCCAAAAAAAACAGTTACTATGCAACTTTTAGTAATTCGGAACAGGAATAGAAAACAGAGACTTTTAACCTTTTGGATGTTTGTTGACAGAATGAACTTAAATAAGAGCTGAATGATCTAATTTGTGCGTGTGTGTGTGTGTATACACACACACACACTAATGTGCAAAAGATTTAGGAAGGTGTGAAAAAATGCTGTACAGTTACAATGCTTTCAAAAATATATATTCTTATTGCTTATTTTTCAAGGGTCTAGATAGAGCTGCCCATATTCCTGCATCTACCACATACTGGCGTTTGCTCACTTCTCGATCCTGTCACGGCTCTCTGCCGTGACAGGGGAGGGACTGGATTCCCCCCTTCCGCTGACTGGCGGAACGGACGGGGATAGGGGGCGGGTACAGCTGGCTCTGCCTTTAGATAGGCAGAGCCAGTTGTCACTCAAGCAGCCGGGCGGATCCAGACATAATTGTCGGGATCCGTTTCAGCTGCAGCGTCTCAGTATACTGCGAGCTGTAGCTCGCAGTATACTGAGCTTAGGGTGACGGGAGGACGCTAGTTTGTGTCCTCCCGTTACCCTAAGGAGAACTATGGGGAAAAGCCCTAACCCCATAGTTCTCCTTTAATACAGTTTGAAGACCAGACGTCCTTCCCCATCTCAAACTGAAACTCTACGAGCTCTGCCTGGGAGAATATTTGCAGACTTCTGAGCTTTGCAACCCTGATCGGGTGATCACTGTTCCAATGCTTTCCAGTCTTGAATTCAAAAATTAAAGAAAAGCATATTTTTTATATATATTATTAGTTATTAATTTCTTTAATTTTTGCAAAAGGTGAACTTATCCTTTAACGAGACCAGGCCATTAAAGAAAAAACATGAGGAAGTTTAAAAGCATACCCTTGCAGTAGGGCTACCCTCGCACTGCAAGGGTTAAGCGTTTGTTTTATCTAGGGAGCGAAATGAAGCAGATAGACTTGCCTGATCCTCACTCAGGGCTCACCTCTCTTCCCTTTGCTCCGGCTGTGGATTGTCCCTCGGCATCCTCATATCTAATGCAAGTCAATGGACCTGCATTAGATGCAATGATGTAATTGGTCCTTAGACTGCTGGAGCCCAGGGAAGAAGAGGCTGCGGGGAAGGGTCTAGCAGCAAAGCAGGACTAAGGATCAGGTGACTGTCTCCCCTACACAAAATGAGCATTTAAGCTTGCAGTGGGGCTTCGCTAGCACTGCAAGTGTTAAGTAGTTAAAATTCCCAGAGTTCTTCCTTAGTTTTAACAAGATTATATGTGCATTTAACATATTTCGGGTATGGTATTTACCTGTAAAACCTCCAAACCCCTTGAGACTGCTGCTGGAGGGGATGTCAGCAGCCCCAGCGTGCCATTCTATAGTATTCTCTGTCCATTCTCCCCCAACTGCCACATAGATGTTTGTTCAGGCAGGTTAGAGGCAGAGGAGCCGGGCCAGCACAGACATGAATTTTACTTCCAGAAGAGGAGAGGGTTGTGACATGGAAGCCGGGAGGGGGCAGTGCTAGGAATTGACACTTTTTGAAGCAGTCAAATTTCCTAGCAAGTTCAGTGGCATATTGTAACAAATACATGATTTTCTTTGCTTATAAATTTAAGTTGGTGATGGGGTCTCTTTAAGGTACCACAAAAAGGGCAAATACATTGGTGACAACCAGAAGTGGTTCTAGAAGATTCAGTAGATTGCTACCAGATGAATTACATTTGGAAAAAGTACAAATACAACAGCACTCCAGGTAGGGCCTCCCTGGTACTGGTATCATCCTGCTTTGCCAAAGTGAACAACTTTCACCCCATGTAACAGAATACCTGAAGAAAACAAATGGAACCATGAACAAAAAGGATTCCTTTTAAGCAGAAAGTTAAAAAAAAAAAATCATGCATACGGTGGGATGGTATATTCCCTTACTTTAACCAGATTATTGAGTAGCTCAGGATATAACTATAGTGTTTTTAGTGGGTTTACCCTTTAAAAGGCTAGGCAAGTCTATTGACAAAAACAAGACATGCCCAAGAACATTTGAAACCAGCTAGAAGTGTTTTAGGTACAGAGGTTACCCCAATATACCCGAGATATTTCCAGGACTGTGAGGACATTTATCAATCTTCTCAAGACAAAAACAAAGGGTAAAAAGGTCAGACAGAAATAAAAAGCAATGCTTTTAGACCTGAATTACAAATGTCTTTTGTGACCCCCACGAACATGTCTGTCTGCTGAAGAGCTTTTAGGAATAACTCCTGTGCCGATCAGTAAATGGACACAAAGATGGCAAGAGGAAAAAACATTTATCTATTATGGTTCTAACAAAGGCTTATGACCCTACTTGGAGTGTGCCATCATGGAGCTGTGAAAAGCATAGAGTCCAAGTTTACCAGTTTAACAAGATGGTGAATTTAAGTCTTTTAAAAGGAGAATTATGAGGTGAGTGAATATCATTCATCCTCATAGTTCGAGCCGATGTGCGACAATGAAACGGTCACACCTTGGCTCAATAGATCGGGAAGTGAGCGAATGCATACCGTCGCTCGATCACTTCTCGATCATCTCCCTGCAGAGAGCAGTGACTATCAGTCACCGCTCCCCGCAGGAATTCCCCCCCCCC